TCCCACCTTCTTTTCATGTTGTGGACCAATTAAAACTTTCTCTTCTTTACTCATAGCAGCTAGGATAAACAATAGTTGTTTGCCCAGTGATATGCAATGCCAAGTGTTACTTCAGCATGTTAGTGCAGTGACTTAGGCATATTTTCTCCAATATATTTCCAAATAATTCTGAGGAGAAAACGTGAGATAATTTCATCATTGAAGGTTTATCTGTACCTCCTGCCATTTTACCTTTTTTCCAAAGTTAAAATTATTTACATGGGCTGTGCACAGTGACTCACACCTGTAATCCCAGCGCTATGGGAGGACGAGGCTGGTGGATTGCTTAAGCCCAGGAGTTTGAGACCTGCGTAGGCAACATGGTGAAACCCTTTCTCTACAACAAACACAAAATTTAGCCAGCATGATGGTACAGGACTGCAGTCCCAGCTACTCCAGAGGCTAAGGTAGAAAGATTACCTCAGCCTGGGGGATGGAGGCTGCAGGGAGCCGTGACTGCCCCACTCCAGCCTGGGTGACAGAGTAAAACCCTGTCCTAAAAAAAAAAAAAAAAAAAAAAAAATGGCCCAGCACGGTACCTCATGCCTGTAATCCCAGCACTATGGGAGGCCAAGGTGGGAGGGTCACCTGAGGTCAGGAGTTTGAGACCACCCTGGCCAACATGACAAAACCCTGTTTCTACTAAAAATACGAAAAAACAGCCGGGCATGGTGGCGGGCACTGTAAACCCAGCTACTCTAGAGGCTGAGGCAGGAGATTCCCTGGAACCCTGGAGGCAGAGGATACAGTGAACCAAGATCATTCCACTGCACTCCAGCCTGGGTGACAAGAGTGAAACTCCATCTCAAAAGAAAAAAAAAATTAAATGGATAAACATTTAAATCAACTATAACCAAGGTTTTGTTCTGCACATAATCTAGTTTAAATCTGTATTCACAAGCAGTTATTTATTTATTTATTTATTTTTTGAGACAGGGTGTTGCTGTGGCCAGGCTGGGGCACAGTGGTGTGATCACAGCTCACTGCAACCTCAAACTCCTGGGCTCAGGGGATACTTCTGCCTCAGCTTCCCAAGTAGCTGGGACTACAGGTGCACACCACCATGCCTGACTAATTTATTTATTTATATATTTAGATACCAGGTTTGACTATGTTGCCCAGGCTGGTCTTGAACTCCTGGGCTCAAGCAATCCTCCCACCTCAGCCTTCCAAAGTGCTGGGATTATCACCACCAAAAATTTGATCCATTATTTTTCTAAAGGGTGAGTCAGCAAAATATGTCGTGACATGGAATGCTCTGAAACATGCTACTGAATGGAACATGACAGAAAAAGAAGAAAAACAAATTACAAGCGGACACTTACAATGTACATGATATAACCTGAGGGGTACTGTGTGTTTGCCAAGGATACAAGTTTCTGTTAACTCACTGGCCAGGTCTGGAACTACACACACCACAGCTGTTACCTTTTCGGGGTTTATGAGGTTGGTTAAACAGATTCCAACTTTATCTGTAATGTTTCCATTCCTCGACTTTAAATGTAGCGGTTACAGAGTTTAATTAAAAGTTAATTTTTGAAAACAGCCACACCCTCTCTCAAAAAAAAAAAAAAAAAAGAAACAAAAGATTAGCCAGTCATAGTGGTACGCATAGTTCCAGCTACTTGAGAGGCTGAGACAGGAGGTAACTTCAACACAGTTTTAGGTTACAGTGAGCTATGATCGCATCACTGCACTCCAGCCTAGGCAACAGAGACCCTGTCTCTAAAACTAAAAGAAAGACCCGGCTCACACCTGTAATCCTATCACTCTGGGAGGCTGAGGCAGCCAGAACATCTGAGGCCAGGAGTTTGAGACCAGCCTGACCAAAATGGCAAAACCCCATCTCTATTAAAAATACAAAAGCTAGCCAGGCATGGTGGCACGCACCTGTGGTCCCAGCCACTCAGAAGTCTGAAGCAAGAGGATTCCTTGAGCCTGGGAGGCAGAGGTTGTAGTGAGCTGAGACTGTACCACAACCTGGGCAACAGACCCTGTCTCAAAACTAAGATAAATAATAAATTAACATAAAATAAGCCACAAAAATATAACAAGGCAGCCGGGCCTGGTGGCTCATGTATGTAATCCCAGCACTCTAGGAGGCCAAAGCGGGCAGATTACTTGAGCCCAGGAGTTCAAGAGCAGCCTGGGTAAAACCCAGCTCTACAAAAAAAAATACTAATTATAACTGAATAATTACAAGGCCATTTGCTACTTTAGGCTGCTGCAGGTTCATCTCATCTTGAACACCACTGTCCTGTTGATCTTTAGTTAGTTATTGGCTACTGAATTTTTTTTTTTTTTTTTTTTTTTTTTTTGAGACGGAGTCTTGCTCTGTTGCCAGGCCGAAGCACAGTGGCACAGTCTCAGCTCACTGCAACCTCCGCCTCCCAGGTTCAAGCGATTCTTCTGCCTCAGCCTCCCAAGTAGCTGGGACTACAGGCGTGTGCCAAATGCCTAGCTAATTTTTTAGTAGAGACAAGGTTTCACCATGTTGGCCAGGATGGTCTAGATCTCTTGACTTCGTGATCCACCCACCTCGGCCTCCCAAAGTGCTGGGAGGCGTGAGCCACCGTGCCCGGCCCCTACTGATTTTTAAAATCAGAGCAGAATTCTCAAAAGTCCCTATGGCTCCCCACTGCTTTGGGAATAAAACCAACTCAGCCTGGCCCCAGCCCAGGTGTGCTCTGGCCTTCCACATCACCACTCCAGTGCCCTGCTCCTGAAGCATCTTGGAAGGTCCCGAGGCCAGGTCTTTGCTTAAGCAGTTCCCATCTGGAATGCACTGCACCTGCCTCTCTCCCTCCTCAAATCCTATGGATGGTTCAAAGTCCAGCTGTAACCTCTTCACCTCTGTGGCCAGAGCCCTAAGGTCCCTGGTCTTCTTCTGGCTCTAAGCTTCAGGACACAGCCCTTTCCCCAACATCACACAGGACATTGACAATCTCCTTTAAATTGTAATCATTGCTGAGAAGACCATTTACTTTATAAATTTTACATCTCAACTATCCCTCAGAACAGTCCCATGTGGATACTATCCTTATTATTCCTGTTTTACTGAGCAGAAGCTCAAGCTCAAACATGTCAAGGACCCTGCCTACGGGCACACAGCTACTGTTAGACAATGCCCTGTTCACTTTTCTTTCTCACAAGACTGAAATCTCATAGGAGCAGAGACCACGACCTGCTCATTCACCCCGTGTGCCCGATATTTACTGGTTGCTAAATAAATATGAATTCAGCTGGGTGCAGTGGCTCATGCCTGTAATCCCAGCACTTTAGAAGGCTGAGGCAGATGGATCACTGGAGGTCAGGAGTTCGAGACCAGCCTGGCCAACGTGGCGAAAACTCGTCTCTATCAAAAATACAAAAATTAGCTGGATGTGATGGTTCACACCTGTAGTCCCAGCTACTCAGGAGGCTGGGGCAGGAGAACTGCTTGAACCTGAGAGGCGGAGGTTCCAGTGAGCGGAGATGGTGTCTGGTGTGACAAAGCAAGTCTGTTTCAAAAAATAAATAAATAAATAAGAATTTAAATGAATAATGCCCATTAGTGCCTTGAAATAGAAGTACTTTTGGGGACTCCATGTTTGGATCCCCTTCCACGAACACTCCCTTCGTGGAAGCCTCTATTCTCCTAAACTCCATCTCTCTCTATTCCTTCCCACTCAGTGTGGAAGCTGCTTTCCTCTCCTGCATTCCATCTTTCTGGATTCTCTCAGTCAGTGTGAGAGTTAGCTGTTTCTTTCTCTCTCCTTCTCCTCTTTCTCTATTAAAAAAAAAAAAAAAGAAAAGTAAGTACTTTTTTTTTTTTTTGAGACAGAGTCTCTCTCTCTGTCACCCAGGCTGGAGTGCAGTGGCACAACCTCGGCTCACTGCAACCTCCACCTCCCAGGTTCAAGCGATTCTTCTGCCTCCACCTCCGGAGCAGCTGGGATTACAGGCACCTGCCACCATACCCGTCTGGTTTTTGTATTTTTACTAGAGATGGCGTTTCACCACGTTTGTTGGTTGGGCTGGTCTCGAACTCCTGACCTCACGATCTGCCCGCCTCTGCCTCCCGAAGTGCTGGGATTACAGGCATGAGCCACCGCGCCCGGCCAGTATCTTCTTTATAAAATGACCATGGCAAACCTTCAGCTCTCTTGCCAGGACTTAAGTCCTTTACAAGGATCGTTGTACTTCGTCCGGCAGCCATCCTAGGCATAGGTATCTTGTATCTACTGGTACCAATGACGGAATCTGAGAATCAGAGGAGCTAAATAACCAAGGTCACAGCCAATAAAGAGGCTGCCTTGGGGGCCCACCTTTGCCGACCGTCATCACCTACAGTCCCCAACCCCTCTTCCTCCGGCTGCTCTATTCTATTTCTCAAGAGTAAAAACAGACCATGCACAGTAACATGCCTTTCTTGGCGTCACTCAACAAAGCAGAAACTCTGGGTTCTGGGGACCCCAGAAGGGCCCCCCTGCACTTCTGTCTCAGCCACCATAGGGAGGGCCCTCCGGGCTCATCCTGGTGCCTTCTCTAATACAACAGTAGGCACCGAGGCGTTGGCGTTCCTGGGCACAGACCTCCGGGACGCTGGTGATGAGGGGCCCCCAGAGACCATGGCACTGCCCGCCACTGTGGGCTCCCGGGCACTCACCCTGTGCAGTGGACGGGGCGGGGGCGTGGTGGGAGCGTGGTGAGAAGCTTAGCAGGCTCCATCCAGATGCGAATTGTCCCTCCCATACTTCCCGGGCTGCCGGGGCCTCCATTAGAGCCCCCGAGGAGTGAGAATCCACACCTCCGCAAATGGGCCCGCTTTCCCAGGGCCCCCCTGCCCAGACCTTCCCTGGGCTCTGTGGGTTTTGACACCTCTCTGTAACCTGGTGGGGGGCCACCTCGCACCTTTGCTCAAGATAAAAGCTCAGGCCTGGAGGTGGGCAGCCCAGCCTCCCAGAGCCCGTGGCCCCGCCATGGCCCAGACGCCTCCTCCGCAGAGCCTCCTCAGCCGCGACCACTGGATCTTCGCCCAGGGCTGGGGCTGGGCCGGCCACTCGGACTCCACGTCTCCAGCCTCCTCCTCGGATTCTTCGGGTTCGTGCTCCTACGACGGCGCCCGTGGCCTCCCGCAGCCCGCGGGCCTGGACCGCGGCTCCCGAGCCGCAGAGGCAGCCCGGACGACGCCCCGACGAGCACGCTCTGGGTCGGCGAGCGGACAGCGGCAGAGCGCCAGCGAGCGGGAGAAACTGCGCATGCGCACGCTGGCCCGCGCCCTGCACGAGCTGCGCCGCTTCCTGCCGCCGTCCGTGGTGCCCGCCGGCCAGAGTCTGACCAAGATCGAGACGCTGCGTCTGGCCATCCGCTACATCGGCCACCTGTCGGCCGTGCTGGGCCTCAGCGAGGAGAGTCTACAGCGCCGGCGCCTGCAGCGCGGGGAAGCGGTATCCCCTCGGGGTTGCCCGATGTGCCCAGACGGCGGCCCCGCGCAAGTGCAGTCGCAGACGCAGAGGGAGGAGTTGGAGCTGGGGCAGGGGCAGGGGCAGGGGCGCGGGCGGGTAGTCCGCGCCAGGGCGTCCTGGGGTTCCTCGTCCGCCTGCCCCGGAGCCCGAGCGGCGCCCGAACGCCTGGGGAGCGGGGTTCACGACGCGAATCCCTGGGCGACACCCCCTTACTGCCCCAAGGTACAGTCGCCCCCGTATTCGTCCCAAGGGACAACCTCCAACGCTTCTCTTTGGACGCCACCCCAAAGCTGTCCCTGGACTCAGTCGTCCCCAGAGCCCCGGAACCCGCCAGCGCCCTGGACAACGCCCCCAGCAACCCTGGAGCTGGCCGCAGTGTACCAGGTATGTGTGTGGACCTCGCTGTGCTCCCCAGCCTCCAGGCTGCAGAGAATCTCATTCTTTTTAGATCCCAGCTTGTCTACCCCAGGCTTACCTAACGGAGGGAGAATGGAAGGAACCCCCGGCTCCTTGGGAGAAGAGGTGGGACCCTGGGAAGTTAAGACCACACGACTGTCACCACAAGTAGTCTTCACAGCCTACTTGAAAAAGGGGGAGCCCGCAGGATGGGCATGCTGACGGGAAAATCGCCTCAAGTGCTATTAAAGGTGCAGTGGGGGAAGGAAGCCCCGGGTAAGGGCTGCACTTTCTGAGTAGACGTGCCTGGAGCTGGTGATTTCAGTTTTCCTCAAGCTCCATTCATTCATGAGGCTCATGCGTGACTCATGGTCCATAAAAAATCATACTAACCAAAATCTGTTGAACACTTTCTACGTGCCCATCATCATTCTTGAATAATACATACCTTACATGTATTATTCAGCCCCAGTTATGACCCTAGGAAGCAGGTATTATCATCGGCATCCCTATTTTACAGGTGAGAAAACTGAGACAAAAAGGTTACCTGCGTTCTCGATGCTAGGGAGTCTCAGAGCTGGGACTTCAGCCTTAGCAGCGCATCTCCTGAGGCTTTGCTGCATCCGCGGCAGAGCTGTCCAGGCGCTGCCAGCCGCACCACGGCAAGCAGCCGGGTTCGAGGTCTCTGGACATCAGGGACTGGCCACCTAACCAACTGCTCTTGTCTCTCTTGCAGGGTCTCTCTGTGTCTCCAGAGTCCTGTCTGTCGCTGGGAACTCCATCTCTCCTGCCCCGCCCATCCTGCCAGAGACTGCAGCCTCAGACCCCCTGGGGGTGCTGGAGCCACAGTACAGAGGTGCTGCCCACCTCGGAGGACCAGGGACCGGGTGCTGCCTTCCAGCTCAGTGAAGCGAGCCCTCCCCAGAGCTCAGCCCTGCGGTTCAGTGGCTGCCCTGAACTTTGGCAAGAAGATCTGGAGGGGGCCCGCCTCAGCATCTTCTACTAAACAGCCTCAGCTTCCCTCTTTCCATCCGGGAATCAGGGCTGTAGTGTGGCTCCCTCCTCGTTTCGTACTTCAGTGGCTTTTCATACTTTCCTTTAGCCAAGCCTCCCTTTTTTCAAGTGATGTCTTGCAGGGAAGCAGTGTTTGAAATAGATAGTGGGCATCTTCCCTGGATGGAGTCAGGGTGGGGGCAGTGTCTTCCACGGCTAGACACCCCTAGAATGCCTGGCACTCTGCAGAGCACAGGCTGAGCTGCACTAAAAAGGGGTCTCCTTTACCCCGAAGGCAGCCGGGCTGGGACAGGTGGGAGAATGGGTGTGGGAGGCATGCCCCATGCTCTGCTTCTTGGTGACATTGGCCTGAGCCCTATATGCTGTGATTTTTTTGTACTTAAAAAGAAAAAACACAACAGAAATTTGGTTTGGTCTGTTTTTTGTCCATCAGGGAAGTCACTCTCTCTGAGCTTCAGTTTTTGCAGTTCCTCAAGGAGGAACTAGCTTGGGTGGTCGCTGAGGTACCTTCTTCCTCTAACCTTCTAGAAGTGCTGTGGTTCCTCCATCCTTAGGGTCCTGCTGGCCCTAGGGGCTGTCAGCCGCAGCTGGAAAGATGAGAAAGTCCAGGCAAGCTTAGAGCAGAGACACAGCTTCGGAGCCCAAGTTGAGCATTCTACTCAGCAGTTACTTGCCGTGTAACCAAGTGAGACTGACAGGCAAGCTTTGAAACCTCCCTGAGCTTCAGTTTCTTCAACTGTGGAGACAATACTAAACCCTACCTCTCAGAGTTTTAATACTTGGCACATAGTAAGTGCTCAATAAAATGAGTACTGAGGCTAGGCACAGAGGCTCATGCCTGTAATCCCAACACTTTGGGAGGCCAAGGTGGGTGGATCACTTGAGGTCAGGAGTTTAAGACCAGCCAGGGCAATATGGTGAAACCCTGTCTCTACTAAATATACAAAAAATTAGCCTGGCATGGTGGCAAGAACCTGTAATCCCAGCTACTCAAGAGGCTGAGGCAAAAGAATCGCTTGAGCCTAGGAGGTGGAGGTTGCAGTGAGCCGTGATCATGTCACTGCAAACTGGGTGACAGAGCAAGACTGTCTCACAAAAAAAAAAAAAAAAAAAAAAAAAAGGAAAAAATCCAATGCAAGATTGCCTCAGCCATGCTGATACCCGTCTGGAAAGGCCGGGTAAAGAAGCCCCCGGGGCTGATGCTTGCAGAGCCTCAGCACCTTCCATTGCTGCTGGGCCTGAGTGCTCAGGGGTCATCTCCCTGGCAGACAAGAGCACTGGACAGGGAATCACCCACCAGAGTTCTAGTTGGTTCCTGCTCTTCGACCTTGCCCACGGCTCTGCAGGCATTCCTCTGGCTCCGTGTACCCTCACTGCATCCCAGGGTCAGCCACAGAGCCTGGTGAGGGCCAGCATCATACACTGCCATGGCAGTGGCACCACCAGAGGCATTCAAACCAGAGCGACTCCATCTTAAATAAGGGCTGGGTAAACTGAGGCTGAGACCTGCTGGGCTGCATTCCTAAGAGGTTAGGCATTCTTAGTCACAGGATGAAACAGAAGGTTGTCACAAGATGTAGGTCACAAAGACTTTGCTGATAAAATAGGATGCAATAAAAGAAGCCGGCCAAAACCTGCCAAAACCGAGATGGTGATAAAAGTGACCTCAGGTCCTTCTCACTGCTCATTATGCATGGATTATAGTACATCAGCTGCTAAAAGACACTTGCACTAGTGCATGACAGTTCACAAATGTAACAGCATCCAGAAGTTACCCTAAATGGCCTAAAAAGGGGAGAAACCCTCAGTTCTGGGAAATCCCACTTCTTTCTCCAAAAACTCATGAATAGTCTGGGCGCGGGTGGCTGGCACCTGTGACCCCAACACTTTGGGAGGCCAAGGCAGACGGATCACAAGGTCAGGAGATGAAGACCATCCTGGTCAACATGGTGAAACCCTGTCTCTACTAAAAATACAAAATTAGTCAGATGTGGTGGCACGCACTTGTAGTCCCAGCTACTCGGGAGGCTGAGGCAGGACAATTGCTTGAACCCGGGAGGCAGAGGTTGCAGTGAGCTGAGATCTCGCCACTGCACTCCAGCCTGGTGACAGAGTGAATCTCTGTCTCAAAACAAACAAAAACAAATAATCCACCCGTTGTTCAGCATGTAATCACGAACTAACTATAAGCAGCCCAGGCCGCTGCTCTGCCTGTGGAGTCACTGTTCTTCTATTTCTTTCTTAATAAACTTGTTTTCACTTTAAGGACTTGCCCCAAATTATTTTCTTTTCTTTTGAGTTGGAGTCTTGCTCTGTCACCCAGGCTGCAGTGCAGCAGCGAGATCTCAGCTCACGGCAACCTCCGCCTCCCAGGTTCAAGCAATTATCTGCCTCAGTCTCCCAGGTAGCTGGTATTACAGGCACCTGCCACCATGCCTGGCTAATTTCTGTATTTTTAGTAGAGATGGGGTTTCACCACCTTGGCCAGGCTGAGTCTTGAACTCCTGACTTCGTGACCCACCTGCCTTGGACTTCCAAAGTGCTGGGGATTACAGGTGTCAGCCACCGTGCCCTGCACCCCTAATTCTTTCTGGCATGAGGTCCAAGGTCTCTCTGTTGGGGTCTCAAACGAGACCACTTTCCAGTAACGGCACAAGCATGGCAGTGACCCCACCCCAGCTCCAGATGGAGACCCACTTCCACTTCTGTGCAGGCAGTAAACCAGACAGCTGATTCCAGTTCAGTTCTGCTGAGATGTGACTTACTCTCCTTGCCTTGCACTTTCCTTATCTGTAAAGCTGAGATAAAGCTGTTCCTTATCTCACGGTACCATTGAGAACTAAATGAAATAATTGCATAACTGCTTCTCCCTGGCAGTTCAGCTCTCTCTTCCAGGGAGCCTGGAGCCCATTAGGAACTCTAGATGGTAAGGCTGGCCCCTCCCACAGCTGGTCCACAGAAGGTCAAGTGCCAGCCATGGCCGCTGGGCACTGGCGACAGGAAGGGCTGGCCCTAAGGGGTGGTGGAGCTTAATCTGGGACAGCCCAGGGAGCCTCCCAGCCGGTGGAGGGACAGCACCCCATCACCGCCCCACACCGGGGGCTGGCCTTCCCCCTTAGCCCGCCCTACTCTTTGATGTGCAGATGGTGGGGGATGGGGGCTTCCTGGCCCCAGGCCTGCCTGTTTTTCACAAGGGGGAAGAGGCTGGTGGGGCTAGAGCCAGGAGACAGGGCCAAGGGTGATAATAAGACCCAGCTCCCCTTCCGCGTCGGGCCACGTGCTAAATCCATGTATCTCCTTCAGTCTACAAGCCAGCCCAACAGCTCTGACACTGCCTTGAGGTGCAGATGAGACCGAGGCCAGGGTATGTGAGTCCTCTAAGAAACTGACACCAGGCCTGCTGGATTCCAGGGTTCCAGCCTGCGGAGCTGGCCTAGGTGTCCTTTGGAGGTGACTCCCAACTATCTGTCTGGCTGTTCTCGCCTTCTGTCCCTCCCCTCGGCCCTGGATGTTCAACTGGGCCTTGTGGGGCAGAGGCTGAGGGGATCCTGCTGCAGTCTGCCTCTGTTTGTCAAGAAATGCCCACTGGGGCCAATGTTTGCGTGAAGCGGTGAGGGTCCCAGGCCTTCTCAGATTTGGCCCTGACCGCCCTCTGCCCCAGGCGATGTGGAGGGCACAGCCCCCGCTTCATGAGACTGGCAAAGCTGTCCCCGCCCCCCATGGCTTCTGTGCTCCTCAGCCCAGCTGAGGAGCTAAACAACCCTATGGTGGCTCACGCCTGTAATCCCAGCACTTTGGGAGGCCATGTGGATCACGAGGTCAGGAATTCAAGACCAGCCTGACAAACATGGCAAAACCTCATCTCTACTAAAAATACAAAAATTAGCTGGCGTGGTCGCGTGCGCCTGTAATCCCAGCTACTCAGGAGACTGAGGCAGAACTACTTGAACCCAGGAGGCGGAGGCCGCAGTGAGCCGAGATTGAGCCACTGCGCTCCAGCCTGGGTGACAGAGTGAGATTCCGTCTCAAAACAGAAAAGACAACAACCCTTTTATGCATTGGTACCCGCGCCCCCACTCCACCCTCCCACCACGGCGCCTGAAGAGGCAGTTGGTGCTGTTGGCCAGTGAGTGGCGTCACCAGGTCTGGGACTGCACGCTTGCTGCCTTCACTGCACTGACCTGTCCCCGCATCGTCCGAGGTGTTCCTGTGTTGCATGAAGAGGGGCGTGGCCAGCACCCTGTGCCCTTGCCTCCTGTTGAGGAGGGTGCTTCCTGGAGAGCACTCTGTGCTCTGCTGGGCCCTTCTCACGGCTCACTGTGGGAGCACTGGGTTCACACTGCCCACCCTCCACCTGTGATGACTTCTCACCACCTGAAATCTCTAGTTTCATCGATCGGAACGGGGATTAAAGGAGCCCTGCAAACCTTCGATTAGCTCAGTCTGTGGCGTGGAAAGGAGCCTGCAGCCCTACAGGCAGGCATGGAGGCACTGGCACGGACCACTGCAGGGCCAGCAGGCTGGGCGCATGTCCCCTCCCATGCTCCAGGGGGTCCCAACTTCCCTCCACCCAGCCTCCCCAGCCACTGTGCTGACCCACTCCTGCTTTAGTTTAGTCATGAGTCTCAAAACTCATCTAGAAATCCTTTATTTACATTTTCTCTTAGAAAAAAAAAAAATAAAGATCTGCTGCCCTGTTGATTCCTCCGATTTGGGGTCTTTTGGGAAAGGTTTGAGGGGGTACAGGGCGGCCTCCCCAGGCCGTCCATTGTCCACCAAGAGCTCCTGCTCATCTGGCCCTGGAGCGGGGCTTCCCTGAGATCAGCCCCAGGGTCCTGGGCGACAGGCGTCATGCCAGGCCTGGGGCAGGGTTGGCACAAGGGGCAGGGACTGGGAGGTGCTCGGACAGCCTCGTCATCAGCAACTAGACTGGCTCACAGGCAGAGAGAACATGGGCTGGACACCATGAGCCCCACGCATGGGGCCAGGTAGCTTTGAGGTCTGGGGACTATTTGCTGTTTCCTGTGAACCACTGGAGCACCACCTCCTTGTTCTCCTTCACCCACTTGATGTTGGCTCTCGTCTTCTCCAGGGCCTGCTCCAGCGCCCGGGTGCCTGAGCCGAAGCCTGTGTCCTCGTTGTTCTTCTTGAACTGCTCCAACTGCCAGAAAAACAAAGATTCTCAGCCCTGGCCTGGGTCCCAACACAGCCTTGAGGAGGAGCTCTCTCGGGTCTCTGGCTTCCCACTCCCACATGACAGTCCCCAGAGATGGCAACCACACCATACCCCGTTCTGGGGATACGAGGACATCCACCTTGCTCCCGGGCAAAGTCCTTGTTAACACAGAGGTTGCAAAATGACAGGCCCTGGCAAAACCTGGCTCAGGAAAGATTCCGGCCTTCATGTTTAATATTTAATTATAATATCAATCCCATCAAGAGAGTAAAGAGGGGCTAATGAAACAGATGCCACATGGAAGCAAGCAGCCAAATCTAAAATATGGAAATTTCTAAACTACAAATGATCCAGTTGCTTCAATAAATAAATTTAAAAAAAAATACTGCTACAAATTAGAAGAGTTATCAGTACTGGAGGTTCTAGCCAGGCAGTTAACCAAGAGAATGAAATAAAAGGAATCCAGAAAGGAAGAAGTAAAACTACGTGTAGATGACATGTTTGCATATATAAAATTTTAAGGAATCCATTAAAAAAAAACTATTAGAACTAATGATTTCTGCAAGGTTGCAGGATACAAAATCAGGTGTACTCCTATACACTAGAATACACAGAAAAATTAGTGGTGAAGAGTGACTGCTAGTGAGTACGGGTTTCTCTTTAGAGTAATAAAAGTGTTCTGGAATTAGGCAGTAGTGATGCTTGTACCACATTTTTGTTTGGTTTGGTTTTTTGAGACAGGGTCTTGCTCTGTTGCCCAGGCTGGAGTGCAGTGGCACCATCTTGGTAATCCCAGCTACTTGGGAGGCTGAGGCAGGAGAATCTCTTGAACCCGGAAGGCAAGAATGCAGTGCGCCCAGATTGCACTACTGCACTCCAGCCTGGGTGACAGAGCAAGACTCAGTCTCAAAAAAAAAAAAAAAAAAAAAAAGCCTTTACTTTCCATATGACTAAATTATTTAGAGGTAAAATTATGTAACGTCGGTGATTTGCTTTAAAATTGACTGCCCAGAAAGAGTACTGGCAAAATGCTGATCACTGTTGAACGTGGGTAATGGGCACACGGAGGTGTATTATACCACTCTTTCCTTTTGTGCCTATACAAAAATCCCAAGATGATTTTTTTGTATTGAACTGTTAACATTTCCAAAGTCTGGCTACTCAGCTTCCTCTGTAAATGAGGCAGGCCTGGCAGTGGGAGCCCATGCTCCCTCAGGCCCACACTGGGGGAAGAATGCAGGGCCTCTCTGGCCTGGGAAGGAAGCTGCCAGAGCGGAGCCCGGGGCTGGGATATGGCTTCTTACCTGCTGCAGCTCATACTCGGTGGAGAAGCGTCGCGTCACTCCCTGGATGAGGTTGGAGAAGGAGAACGAGCCACCACCGTAACTGCAGGAAGGGAGACAGGTGAACCGTGAGGGGGGCCGGGAACTAAGGAGGCTCCTCACACCTGCTGGGGAGGGAGCTGTGATCGTGGAAGAGATGAAACGATATGCTCTGGGAGGTCCCTCCAGGACACCAGGACACAGGGGAGTCACAGCGTGAACAGGCCTGACCGCCCAGCTCCGAGCTCCCCTCTCCCAGAGAATACTCCCACCAGCCATGTTTTCCTTCCAAGTGGGAAACCCCACCTTGTCTTTCCATTCCTGCCCCCACCCCAGCCCCCAGGCTTGGCTGATTTTTGTCCACTCCTGGGCAGTGTCCCCAGCATGTCCCATGCACACAGGCCATCCCCTGGGCCCCAGCCTCCGCATTCACCGTGCCTGACACCCTCTCCACAGACTCACTCATTAAAGAGCTTCTTCCAGTTGCTCTGGACAAAGTCCCAGACCAGAGTTTGCCCAACGACATTGTTGGCAATGCTGATGATGGTGGAGGTGGCGTCCTGCTTCCGGATTAAGTCAGGGTTCAGGGTGTAGCTCAGGTACCTAAGAGGGCCAGATGCTGAGTCAGCGACTGCTAATTCAGGTGACTGAGGAGAGAACCTGGGCCGTCCCACGCCACACGTCACCTCCGCCTGCTGGGAGCTGAGCGACCCCCACGTGGTCCTTCCTCCCTCTGTAGAGGGGAAACTGAGTCACCTAAGCAGGGTCACAGGATCACTGGCTAAGCCAGAGACATGCCTGACATGGAAATATTTGACAATGAATCAATAAAGGAAAGAGTCCCAGGGTCCCGAGCCCGGACACCAGGTAGATGGCCACTCTTGTCTTTGACACTCAGGGTGGCTCTTCTTTACTGCGTCCAGGTGATGGCATATGCAGCCCACGGTGGGGGCTGGGGACCCTCATCCAAGGGCTTGAGGGGGTGCCCAGCTGGACATTTGGAAGGACCCAGGTCTAGCTATGCCAGAGCGTTTGACAGAGGGGGACATGAATTGCTGTGAGGTAAAGACTAAGAGGCCACAGCAGCTAGGAGCTCGTCTCTATCACTTATTCAAGCTTCTGGGCTGTACCGGTGGCTTTGGAAAGACTGCCCCCACCTCAGCAGGTCTGTGAGGGTTGAGAGAAGGATCTGGTGAGGAGTGCAGAGGCCTGCCTGGTTCTCCAGGTGGGGAGGGGCTCTGGCAGTCCCACCTTGCCCCAGGCCTCACCTGTTCAGGATCCACACCTGGTTGCTGCAGGCCAGAGCTGCCCGGAGCTTGTCGGCCTCATTGACCAGCGTGGCGCTCCGGAACTGCTCCCAGGCGAAGTTCCACTCCTCCTCGCCGCCCTGGGCGATGGCATTGCAGTAGACGGTGGACCTCAGGTTGGGGTGGATCCTGGCGTGAGGTGGGGAGGTCAGGTGTGGAGCAGCAGTGGGGAGGGTGGGACAGGGGTCTCCTGAGGACGGAGCTGTTAGGGGAGAAATGAAGGCTGGCAGAGGAGACACAAGGGAGACACTCACGGGTTATTACTGGTGTTCGCCATCCACTGCTTGAAAAGGTCAGAGACCATCTGCTCGCACTCCAGAAGTCCGTTGGTGCAGGCGGTGCTGATGGCATTAATCTCGCTGTACCTGCACCGGGGTGACATGCAGTTAGCATACCTGGCTGACTCCAGCCAAGATTCCCCTCTTGACACACAGCCCCAGGCTGGTACCCCATCTGAGGCTCTGTGGCCTAACTGGCCCTCTGGGCCCCCCATATTTGCTCTGTGCCTTGGGCCTGAGATTCCTTGGTCCCCAACGCAGCCCAGGGACCCAGAAGGGCAGGAACAGCCTCCAGCCCATTTCAATCCCTGGAAACCATATAACCTCAGGCCAGTGGGCTGAGCTCAGAGCTTCAGTACTGGCCTTTGTGTAGAGGCTTGATGGGCCCACAGTACACATGGAGCCTCAGGGCAGGGCCTCACTTCTCCTGGGTGGGGATCTCTCCCTGCCTGGTGCCCCGCATTGAGAGGTGCAGCAGAGAACACTGCTCTTGATTCCCTGGGGTGCCCAGGACCTCTAAACCCACGAGGGCTCCCACTCACTGGTCCATCAGGTTTTCTGGGATCACAGTCCAGTTGTTGGTGGTATTTCTGAAGTGAAAGAAGAGGGGTGTGACCTGCTTCTTCAGGTAGTTCTGGGGAAAAGAAAACATGAATCACATCAAAGACTCATGCCTGACCTGTCTGGAGCCCCACGAAGCTTCTGATGTTGGGGGGCAGGCACTGGCAGGGAGGTCAGAGGTCAGGGCCTCACCCGAGGCCGAACAGTGCTCAAAGAGGTCCATAGAAGTCTAGAGTTCAAATAACCGAGCCAAGGTGCTTTCTGCTCATAGCATTAGTCAGTGCCAATAGTCTGTCTAAGGGTCACAATTTCTTTTTTTTTTTTTTTTTTGAGATGGAACCTCGCTCTGTCACCAGGCTGGAGTGCAGTGGCGTGATCTCAGCTCACTGCAGCCTCAGCCTCATGGGTTCGAGCAATTCTCCTGCCTCAGCCTCCTGAGTAGCTGGGACTACAGGCATGCGCCATGCCCAGCTAATTTTTGTGTTTTTAGTAAAGACGGGGTTTCACCATGTTGGCCAGGCTGGTCTCAATGCTCACCATTTCTTAATATAATGTGTTGGGTTTTCCCCTCATGATCATAAGTATTCCATGACTTGCCGGGTGCGGTGGCTCACTCCTGTAATCCCAGCACATTGGGAGGCTGAGGCGGGTGGATCACCTGGGCCCAGGAATTCAAGTCCAGCCTGGGCAACATGGTGAAACCCCATCTCTATTAAAAATGAAAAAAAAAAAAAAAAAAAAAAAAGTAGCCTGGTGTGGTGCTGTATGCCTATAATCCCAGCTACTTAGGAAGCTGAAGCAGGAGAATCGCTTGGACCCAGGAGTGGAGGTTACAGTGAGCTGGGAACACACCACTGTACTCCAGCCTGGGTGACAGAGTCACACTCCATCTCAAAAAACAAAACAAAACAAAACAAAATTCCTTGACTTATTGTGGGGAATTTAGAAAACACAGAGAAACATCTGCAGAAAATAAAACACACTCAGGAGCTTACCAAAACTATAGTTTCCACATTAGTGCTTTTACACCTTCTTTTTTCTGCACTTTGTTGTTTTTCACTTAGCAGATTATGCATATGGCTTTTTCTTCCTGGCATTGTAGTGTAAGCCCCACCCCACGCTAGTGAAATCCTTTGTAGACTCTGGTTCAACAAGGCAGGTTGATCTCCCACCTGGATCCACATCCAAATGTAAAAGGAATAAACCCCCAATAACGAAGAATAGGAGAGGCAACAGCGGATGCAAGGTCAGCACAGTGTAGGCAGCTGGGAAGCGCAGAAAGGGAGGTGTGCCAGGTTTGGCAGAGTGGGAGAAGCTGCAACTGAGAATCTGCAGAAAGGGAGACAGAAGAAAGAGAACTTGCTGTGACAAGACTCAGAATTAAAGGGACAAGGCCCCATGCAGTGGCTCACACCTGTAATCCCAGGACTCTGGGAAGCCGAGGCAGGTGGATCACCTGAGGTCAGGAGTTCGAGACCAGCCTGGCCAACATGGTTGAAAACCGTCTCTACTAAAAATACAAAAATTATCCAGGCATGGTTGCAGACGCCTGTAATCCCAGCTACTTGGGAGGCTGAGGCAGGAGAATTGCTTGAACCCAGGAGGTGGAGGTTGAAGTCAGCAGAGATCATGCCATTTCACTGTAGCCTGGGTGACAGAGCAGGACTATCCAAAAAAAAAAAAAAAAAAAAAATTAAAGGGACAAGTCAGAAGGGACAGAAGGGAGGTGAGGACTGCAAATAGGAAAATAAACTCAAAGTCAACAGAAGGAGTCATTCCACCTCCAAGTCCCCACTTCCCTCCTTGTAGAGGGCAGCAGCCCTCACCACACCCATGAGAGAGACTGAACTGGGGATTCAGAAAGTGGGGTCAATCTTTGCTGGATTGCAAAGAGGGTCAGAGATGGAAGTTTCCATACTGAAGGGCGGCACCCCTGTTCCCTTCCCGCCTGTGTCCCAGAAAGGAAGTGCTGCCAGCCTCATTGCACAACACAGAGGTTCACACTCTGGAAACACTGCATGGTCTCGAAAGAACATACCCATGGATACTAACTTTTGAGGATCCCCAATGAAAAGTTACTTGGCCACCCAGTCACCTCGCAGTGAGCTCCCCAAGACAGCACATTCCACCTTTCCATGGAGCTTCCAATCACTTTTTGTTTGTCTCACTCTCAAATCCAAAGGGGTGGCTCAGCCTCCAACTTGAAAAGAGACCAAAACAAACACAAAACTCAAGAGGAAATGAGTCAATGGAAAAAAAAGAAAACTTCGAAAAGCCTGTAGTAAATATCGTCCGAGAGGGATGAGAAGATATTACACAGGATGCTCGAATCAGAAAGAGCACTTGGAAATTTTACAATATTACAGAAGAAATGAAAACAGTTTCTAGGTGAGGCGGTGTGCAAAGCTGAGGGAACCTCCCAGGGCAGAACAAAAAGTCAGCAAGCTGGAAAACAGAAGAGAAAAAGAAAACTCGAGGACAAAAGCAGGAGCAGTAAGCAGGATTTATAGGGGCTCCACAGAGATAACCAGAAAAAAAGGAGGGGAATAAAGTTTAAAGAAGCAATACAGCCGGGCGCGGTGGCTCAAGCCTGTAATCCCAGCACTTTGGGAGGCCGAGGCGGGTGGATCACAAGGTCGAGAGATCGAGACCATCCTGGTCAACATGGTGAAACCCCGTCTCTACTAAAAACATAAAAAAATTAGCTGGGCATGGTGGCTCGTGCCTGTAATCCCAGCTACTCAGGAGGTTGAGGCAGGAGAATTGCCTGAGCCCAGGAGGCGGAGGTTGCGGTGAGCCGAGATCGCACCATTGCACTCCAGCCTGGGTAACAAGAGCGAAACTCCGTCTCAAAAAAAAAAAAAAAAAAAAAAAGGCCAGGCGCGGTGGCTCAAGCCTGTAATCCCAGCACTTTGGGAGGCCGAGGCGGGTGGATCACGAGGTCAAGAGATCAAGACCATCCTGGTCAACATGGTGAAACCCCGTCTCTACTAAAAATACTAAAAATTAGCTGGGCATGGTGACGTGTGCCTGTAATCCCAGCTACTCAGGAGGCTGAGGCAGGAGAATTGCCTGAACCCAGGAGGTTGCGGTGAGCCGAGATCGCGCCATTGCACTCCAGCCTGGGCAACAAGAGCGAAACTCCGTCTCAAAAAAAAAAAAAAAAGAAGCAAATACAGGCCGAGGTGAGTGGATTGCTTGAGGTCAGGAGTTCGAGACCAGCCTGGCCAACATGGGGAAACCCCGTCCATAAAAAGAAAAAAAAAGAAGCAATACAAAATGTTCCAATACTAGAGGATGTGAATGGCAGTCCGGATTGGAAAATGTAGATGGAGGAGAAGAGGCCCAAACTCAGGCCTACCGGGACTGAGAGAAGCTTCCAAAAGTTTCCAGGAGGAAAACTGGTCACATTCAAGTAACTAGAAATGAGAATGGCTCTGGACGTCTCATCAGCAACAGGACAAGCCTGATATCAGTGGAGCAAGACCTTAAACATTTGGTGGAATAATTTCCCACCTCGAAACTTCTAAACCCAGCTGAACGCTCAATCCAGTGTGAGAATGGAATACAGATATTTCAGATGATCTACCCCAGAAAATCCACCTCTCATGGACCCTTTCTCAAAAACTCCTGGAAGATGTACTCCCCTATGAGAGGGGAAAAAAAAAAATCAAGAAAGAATCTGTGAGACACAGGAGACACAGGAGAAGATGGCACCTCCAAGCATGGAAGCCACATGGCAGCTCTGGAAGAGAGGAGGCAGAAGAGGGCTCCGGGAGGGGATGTCTCTAGCAAAAAAAAAAAAAAAAAAAAAGCAAAATTGGGCTGGGTGTGATGGCTCACACCTGTAATCCTCGCACTTTGGGAGGCCAAGGTGGGAGGATTACTTGATGTTCCTGGAACATCAGACCCTGGAAGCCAGGTGTCCCAGACCGTCCTGGCCAATATAGAAAGATCCCATCTCTATAAAAAATCAAAAATTTAAAAAATAGCCAGGCATAGTAGTGCACAGCTACTAGAGAGACTGAGGCAGGAGAATCCCTTGAGCCTAGGTATTTGAGGCTGCAGTGAAGTGTGATTGCACCACTGCACTCCAGCTTGGGCAACAGAGTGAGACCCTATCTCTAAACAAACAAACAAACAAACTTTGACCTATTGTGTGATACATTTGTAACTGTGTACAAAAAAGGAAATATAAACATAGTACTCTACATGGCTCAGCTGAGAATACTATTTAGATAAACATAATAAAGCAAATGCTTAATACTGATTTGACTAAATATTATGATTTAACTATAGTAGGAAGATGGGGAGATGTGGGGTAGGCAGGTAAGAGGGTTGAAACTTTATTTACCAAAATATCTCATTTACCATAATGGATATTAATAGATAATTAAACTTTTTTTTAATGAAAAAAGATCTCTTCAACCATGATCTAATGACTATATGTTACACCCTCAAATGGATAGTCTACAGTTTAACGAATCCTCAACCTTCAGACACTTAAGTATTTGTGTTTTGTTTTGCCTTTCACAAACTGCTACAGTGAGCATCCTATGGGTGTAGCTTATTCATCCAGAATAAGCTCAAGTTTCCTTTTGGTCTCTCAAGTGGGAGCATCTGCCCTCAAATAGGCCCCTATGCTCAGCATTAAAATACTTCAAAGCTGCCAATACCCATATCTCCCTCACAGCGCAGGTGGGCTGGGTAGGCAGGTAGAGGCCTGTCCATCTTACAGAGGAGTTAACTGGGCCTGAGAAAGTGTTGCCCAAGGCCACACAGCTGGCAAAAGACAGTTCTTCCGGCCCTCAGCATGGTGGCCTTTTCTGTGTCTTCTGAAAGCATTAATTCCCCATTTTTCAAATCAACAAACTTTGCTGAAGTCTCAGCGACCTTTATTTTTTTGCTCCACACAGCCTCCTCACCTCCTCAGTGTCTGCTTCTCACCTTGATGTCCCTCCCTCTCACTCTTTCACCTGCATGCTCAGGAGAGAACCTGACCAGGTGATCTTTCTTTTTTTATTGTTTTTTTGTTTTGCTTTAGAAGGTTCCCTGACCAGGAGTCCCAACAGGCAACCATCTATTAACTTCCTCACAGTGCACTTTCAGGCACTGGTTCTTGAACCCTGACATGCGCCTCCATACCTTCATGGGCCCGTAGACCTCAGAGCGGTCGAACATGAGCTTGAAGTAGCTCAGGCTGCTCAGGGCGGCCTCCCAGGGCATGTACTCTGTCTCATCGATCAGGAAGAGGGTGTTGTTCAGTGCCAGAGTGACAGGGACCTTATGAGCACTGGGAACAAATAGAGGGTCCTGAGTAAAGCACCCACACCCAGCCCAGGCCCTCAAAGATGCTCTGCACCCTTTGGCCCCTGTGTCCATTGAGGTCCCAGAATCCCAACTGAGCCAGCTCAGGCATTTCCATGAAAAAGGAGCTACACGGCTGCTGGATGGTGCCACAAACGAGGCCCTGCCCTCCCCCACTGCCAGTCCCACTCCCTTGCTTATTATCCCCATTTTACAGATGAGGAAACTGAGGCTCAGAGAAGTGAACTGCCTTGCCCAAGGTCACACACTTCACAAGAGACAGAGTTGAGATTCGAAAGAGTAAGAAGCCCGTGTCCTGAACTCTGTTGCCTCTTCTGACTTTCTGGGCACCGGAGACCTTTCTTCCTCCTCTTCCCCCTACCTTCTGTACACCAAATGTCCTTGTATATTGTGACACCACTCATGTCCATGACCTTAGAGCGCCTCACCCCAAACAGAGTAGGTGCTCAACAAGTGCCTGTTTATCCACGCTGCCTCCCTCCCGCCCACTCCAGACTATCCACGCTGCCCCCCTCCCGCCCTCTCCAGAGTATCCACACTGCCTCCCTCCTGCCCTGTCCAGAGTATCCATGCTGCCTCCCTCCCGCCCTGTCTAGACTATCCATGCTGCCTCCCTCCTGCCCTCTCCAGAGTATCCGTGCTGCCTCCCTCTTGCCTTGTCTAGACCAGAGTTTTGGCACCTAGCACAGTAGCCTGCCACAGTCAGCCTTTAGGAAAAGCTTGGTGCAGCCGGGAGCGGTGGCTCACACTTATAATTCCAGCACTTTGGGAGGCTGAGGCAGGGGGATCACTTGAGGTCAGGAGTTCAAGACCAGCCTTGCCAACATGGTGAAATCCCATCTCCACTAAAAATACAAAAATTAGGTGGGCACATGCCTGTAATCCAGCTATTCAGGAGGATGAGAAGGGAAAATCACTTGAACCCAGGAAGTGGAGGTTGTAATGAACCAAGATTAGGCCACTGCACTCCAGCCTGGGCAAGAGAGCCAGACTACGTCTCAAAAAAAAAGGGGGGCTATGGCTGGGTGTGGTGGCTCACACCTATAATCCCAGCACTTTGGGAGGTCGACAAAGGCAGATCACTTGAGGTCGGGAGTTCGAGACCAGCCTGGCCAACATGGGGGAAACCCGTTTCTACTAAAAACACAAAAATTAGCTGGGTATGGTGGTGCACGCCTGTAATCCTAGCTACTTGGGAGGCTGAGGCAGGAGAATCTCTTGAACCTTGGGACGTGGAGGTTGCAGTGAGCCAAGATCACACCACTGCACTCCAGCTGAGTGAGAGTGATATTCTGTCTCAAAAGAAAAAAAAGAGGAGCTGGGCATGATGGCTCACACCTGTAATCCCAGCACTTTGGGAGACCAAGGCAAGCAAATCACTTGAGGCCAGGAGTTTGAGACCAGCCTGGCCAACATGGCAAAACCCCCATCTCTACTGAAAATACAAAAATTAGCCAGGCGTGGTGGTGGATGCCTGTAGTCCCAGTTACTCAGGAGGCAGAGGCAGAGAATCGCTTGAACCTGGGAGGATAAGGCTGCACTGAGCTGAGATTGGGCCATTGCACTCCAGCCTGGGCAACAAGAGCAAGACTCCATCTCAAAAAAAAAAAAAAAAAAAAATGCTTGGTGCTGTAGAGCAGATAGACTGTCGTTTTGGGGGTGGACAAGCCTCTGTCTGGCTATCATGGGCTCCTGTGTGACTTCAGGCAAGGTGGGCTCCCTCCCGCCCTGTCTAGACTATCCATGCTGCCTCCCTCCCGCCCTCTCCAGAGTATCCATGCTGCCTCCCTCCCGCCCTGTCTAGACGTGCATCCATGCTGCCTCCCTCCCACCCTCTCCAGAGTATCTATGCTGCCTCCTCATCTGTGAAATAGGTGTGTGGGGACCTGGGGAGGGACATCCCAGGAGCACAGGAGCTCACTGTGGAGCACCTGGCACGTGGGAGGGGCAGGAAGAGCGGGAGCCTCATCATGGCCTCAGACTTGCTGAAGTCACGAGGCTTCTGTGGCTGAGCCAGGAAGGGGAGCACTCACCTGGCCAGGTTGAAGGCGTCATTGATGATCTGCGCCCGATTGATGACAGGGATGACCTAGAATGTGAAGCACAGCATGTGACCACAGGTTGGCTGTGGTGGCAGGGCTTGCAGTCTGGTGCCTGTCCTGGGGCGGGGGGCAGGGCGAGGGGTGGCGGACACCCACCGACCGGTCTGTCTGCAGCTGAGTCTGAATCTTCCTCCAGTTGTCCTCGTCGTAGTTCACCCGGTAATAGCCCGTCACGTTAAGGTTCAGCAGGACCCACTCATCACCTGACGTTCTGAAGAGCCCGTTGTTTTCTGTGGGGAGGGACGAGACCTGGGCAGGGCTGCTCAGAGGCCATGGGCTGACCCCAGACCTCTTGCAAGAGCAGCTGCCCCTGCAGCCTGGAACCAGCGCACCCTCAAGCTTCTGGGGTGACGCTAAGAGGGAGAAAGTAGGGGTGAAGGACTGGGCCACCAGCAGCCTCACAGACCATGAGCCCATGAGGATGGCCTGCACCCCGAACCTCAGTGCCTGCCCTGATTCCCCAGGCTCTGCACAGCCAGGCCAGCTGCAGGGCCACCCACACCCAGCAACCCAGGCCGTTCCTTCTCCTCACTCTACCACACCTGTCACCCATGTGGGAACTGCAGGAAGCTCCTCCTCCCCCTTCCCCTTCCATTCACCCAGCCCCCCACCCCCAGTGCTGCTGTCTCACCCTGAGGCTTAGTGTCCCCTCCTCCCCATGGTTCCCCCTCCTCCCTGTGTCTCCCCCTCCTCCCTCGCTCCTCCCATACTTTGTTTCAGCAGCCAGAGGTCAGGGCCAATAGCTTGTTCATTTCCTACCTGTCCCAGCCACTGTCTGCTGCACCCCATGGGACACTTGGGGACCAGCTTTATCTCTTGGGCACACCTCTGCCCTAGCCACACTCAGTCCCCACTCTCTCCGGCCTTTAACCCTGGCACTTGCTATTTTCTCTGCCTGTAATTCTTTTCTTTGCTACATTAGACTGCCTGACTCCTACTCTTCCTCTAAAATTCAGCTCACCTCCTCCAGGAAGCCTTCCCTGACTTCTCCAAGAACTTGAATCTCCCTTATTCCCAGCTCCATGTCCCCATACCTCACTAGCCCCAACCATATAGCCTGAAACCACCCAGCACAGCACTAGAATGCTTCCAACTTCTTGCCTTCCTTCATCTGTAGCCTTGACCAAGGCAAAGGACGACATGCCTTGACCTTCACTTCCTCAGTGCCTGGCTGAGTAGGGCTCAAACCATGTGCCAGGCACTACTTCAAGCACTTATTGCCCAGGCTGGACTGCGATGGCACACTCTCATCTCACTGTGACCTCTGCTTCCCAGTTTCAGGCGATTCTCTTGCCTTAGCCTCCTGAATAGCTGGGACTACAGGCATGCACCACCTCACTCGGTTAATTTTGTATTTTTAGTAGAGACGTGGTTTCTCCTTATTGATCAGGATGGTCTTGAACTCCCAACCTCAGGTGACCTACCCACCTCAGCCTCCCAAAGTGCTGGGATTACAGGCATGAGCCACCATGGCTGGCTTAGGATTCTCTCCTTTAATCCTCACATAACCAATGGAGTATTGTTCTTAGCCTCATTTTATAGATGAGGAACTAGGGACCAGAGAGGGATGGTAACTTGCCCACAGTCACACAGACAGGTAGCAGCAAAGTGGAGATTGGAACCAAGTAAGTCAATTCTGTTTGCTGAATGAAAGGGAATAGCTCATCACAGCCCTCAGAACATGGGCCAGGAGCTAGGAGTATGGCGTGGGGGCTGCTGCCCACAGGGGCAGGGCTGGATTACCTTGTGCCTCCGTCAGCCAGTAGTCCGCCTGCTGTGTGCCATTTCGGATGGACGTGATGGGCACAATCCACTGGTAGCTGAAATTAAAGACCCAGACAGAGGTGGTGAGAGACGGCAGTGTGACCACTGCCGGGGAGGAGCAGCTGCCCAGGCTCCCAGCTTCTGCTCAACTCTGGAGCCGAGCACCCCTGGTCTACTGGGGCTGGAGGGAAGGTGTGTCTACAGTGGCTGGAGGGAAAGTGTGTCTACTATGGCTGTGGATGGAGGGAGGGCGTGTGTACAGTGGCTGGGGATGGAGGGAGGGCATGTGTACAATGGCTGGGGCTGGAGGGAGGGCGTGTCTGCAGTGGCTGGGGCTGGAGGGAGGGAGTGTCTACAGTGGCTAGGGATGGAGGGAGGGCGTGTCTACAGTGGCTAGGGCTGGAGGGAGGGCGTGTCTGCAGTGACTGGGGCTGGAGGGAGGGCGTGTCTGCAGTGACTGGGGCTGGAGAGAGGGCGTGTCTATAGTGGCTGGGGCTGGAGGGAGGGCGTGTCTGCAGTGGCTGGGGACCCAGGGAGGGCGTGTCTACAGTGACTGGGGCTGGAGGGAGGGCGTGTCTGCAGTGGCTGGAGACGGAGGGAGGGCGTGTCTACAGTGGTGGGGCTGGAGGGAGGCCTGTCTACAGTGGCTGGGGATGGAGGGAGACCTGTCTATAGTGGCTGGGGCTGGAGGGAGGGCGTGTCTACAGTGGCTGGAGACGGAGGGAGGGCGTGTCTACAGTGGTGGGGCTGGAGGGAGGCCTGTCTACAGTGGCTGGGGATGGAGGGAGACCTGTCTATAGTGGCTGGGGCTGGAGGGAGGGCGTGTCTACAGTGGCTGGAGACGGAGGGAGGGCGTGTCTACAGTGGTGGGGCTGGAGGGAGGCCTGTCTATAGTGGCTGGGGCTGGGCCCACAGGAAGCCAGTCCTACGATAGTTCCTTAGCAACCGCTCTCCACCCACCCACCCTGACCAGGCCTCAGGGCCGCGTCTGCTCACTTGAAATCCGAGGGGCGGGTGACGGTGGAATCCGGGTCAAGGAGGAAGTGCTCCTGGGAAATGGCCCCGGTGCCGGTGTTCACCGTGATGAGTGGGAAGCCCATCTGCAGAGTCCAGCGGTCCATGATGCTGCTCACGTTGGTGGGGAGCTGGACGGACCGGTTGTTCACAGCCTGTGGGAGGAGCGAGAGGATGTGGCCATCAGCGGCTGCCACCCTCCAGTCCCTGCCATCCAGGGCAGCCTCTGCAGACTCTCGCCTCGACCCCGGCAGGCAGGGCCGCTTGTACAGGAGGCCTGGGAAGAGCGCAGGGCTGGAAGCCGGGAGCCAGGGTCCCGTCTGGCTCTGCCTCTCCTCGGCTGCTCCATGCTAGACAAGCTGGAGAACTTCCCAGCAAATCCACACACAGCCCCCATTCTGTGGTTCACTCTGAGGTGTATGTGTCAGGGAGGGGGTGCCCAGGATGCCCATGGCCCTTCCTGAACAAACTGGGAGGATGACAGGGAAGAAGAGACAGAAGTGACAGAAAGCCAGTGTGCGGGTGTCACAGGCAGGGGCAGGGGACGGGGCTGGGAGTTGCACGAGGGAGACGCGCTGTGTCTGGGTGTGGGGCGGGGCTCCGGGGCACTGCTGCTGTCTTTTTGGATCTTTTCTCACGAACCTGCCTTGCCTTTGTCATCACAGCAGAAAGCCAACATCATTTGTTAATAACTGAAGAACAGGACCACAAAGAGGGCAGAAGAGCTTGTGGGGAGAAAACGGCTGGGGGCAGTGGGAGGAGAGGCTCGGGAACGTGGGGAAGGGAGGGCTGGGGGAGAGCTTGGCTTCAGAGGGGACACAGAAGGGAAGCTGGGGCAGGGCAAGGAAGGTAGAGGGAGGGACCCAGGCAATGACAGTGTTATCTTGTCAGCAGCCTCCCGGGGTGGGATGGGGGGGGTTGGAAATTGCCCAGCAGGGACCTGGAGCCCAGCTGTGACTCTGACAAGCTCCTGGGTCTTGCCTCCCTGGGAGACTGGCCTGGGACTGGAAGCACAGCAGCTACAGTGGGGGAGAAGCTGGATAGGAATGTGGGGCCCAGGACTCTGCAGGGGCTGTTGGTGAGGAGAACATGTCCTCTGCCTGAAGAGGCTGGCTTTGGGCAGGGCTGCAGGGAAGGCGTGGGACAGCTGTCAGGGAGTGGAGCTGATGGGGGCAGGAGGGAGAGCAGGTGGACTCCAACCCCGGGAGAGGAAGGCAGGAGGGTGTGGGCAGTCTCGGGGGTTGCCCCACAAACAGGGGCTGTGCAACTGACGGAGGAACTCAAGGCGGGGCAGAGGGCAGAGTTCCGGCTGAGGGTGGAGCTGTGTGCAGAGACGCACCTGGGAGGCACCAGGAGAGGGCACAGGACAGCCAAGGAGGGGGTGAAGGTTGAATGCCCAGCTCCCGAGTTCCAGGCAGAGGCTGGTTTGGACTTGGGAACCATGAGGACTCTTTCCACAGCTCCCATCAAGGAGCCCGCTGTGGCTTGAGGTTGGCTGCCGGCCAGGGCCTGGGCCACAGCCTCCCTCAGATACCTCCTGCGAGGAGCCACCCTGGCACCCACTGTGGGGAGGAGCAGCGAGGCTCCATCTGCACACAGGGCTGGCCAGCAGCAGAGCTGGACACACTGTCCTGTACACGTGCTGCCCCCAGGCACGCTCAGTGCCTCAAGACCCCAACAGGGTGGCCAAGGAGGGGCCGGCTTCCACTGACCTCCTGCAGGTGATCCCACAGGTCCCGGTAGATGGTGTTACTGTAGGCAAAGGTGTGCAGATAGGACTGTGGAAAGACGGGACACGGTGAGGGCACAGCTGGACCCCCCCAGGCTCCCCCTCTGTGGTGGGCTGAGGTCTGGGGCAAGGGCAGAGGTAGAAGGAGACCCACCTCCATGGCTGGCCCAGGGCCTGGTACTCACCGCCAGCCCCTGCTTGAACACATCCTCGGACAGGAAGCTGGAGAGCATCCTGAGGACTGCGGCGCCCTGGAGGGGCAGGGGCGAGGGGGCGGTCAGAGGCTGTGCCGAGCCAGCAGGGCCCTGTGCCCCCAGACCCTGGCTTCAGCCCTTGCGGGCCAAGTCCTCACAAATCTTTAGTAGTGATGTGGGAGATTTGGGTGCATCCATTACCCTGGCACCCCTGCCAGCCCCCAGGAGGAGCGCACTGCACCTTGCTGTAGGCGATGGAGTCAAACTGCTCGCTGATCTGAGCCGGCGTGCTGACCTCCGAGGCGGGAGTGGACAGCGGGTGGGAGGAGACCAGGGCATCCACGGCCATCACGCGATACACGTCGTTCAGCACCATGAGATCTTTCTGCAAATTCCTCAGGGCCATCAGGAACGGTGGCCCAGGTCTCCCTCCACACCCGCCCCCCACCGCACCAGCCTCCAGGGCAGCTGGCTCACCAGGTTCCAGCTGGGCTCTGCATAGTCAGCTCCCAGGTACTCCACGTAGGAGGCAAAGCCCTCATTCAGCCACAGGTCATTCCACCACTCCACGGTCACCAGGTTCCCGAACCACTGTGGAGGGGAGGGGTCAGCTGGGCAAGCCACGCCTGAGCCGGGCACTGAGGGTCCCAGAACAACTCCCCCCCAGGGCCGGCTGCCTGCCAGGCACAGCAGGGACTTCACCAACATCATCGTGACCCCTTCCCGCTGCCCTGCCAGGCGGCACCCTCCTCCCTTCTTAGCAGCCTGGGGTGGAGCCTGGACATGCCCATCTCCTCCCGGAGCCCCATTTCCTTCTCTGCAACCCCCAAGATGGGGGGCTACCTGGTGGGCCAGCTCGTGAGCGATCACAGTGACCACCCGCTCCTTGTTGCTGCTGGAGGAGGACAGGGGGTCGAACAGCAGGGAGTTCTCCCGGTAGGTCACCAGCCCCCAGTTCTCCATGGCGCCAGCATTGAAGTCAGGCAGGCCGATCTGGTCTGGGGAGGTGAGGCCATTGGCAGGGTGGCCTCCGGGAGTGCAGCTCTGCCCACTGCCTCCCACCTCAACGACCCCCACTCACCTGATTTTGGGAGTGGGTAGGATGTGTTGTAATGACTGGCAAAGAAGTTAAGGATGGGGCCTGTCACGTTGAGGGCATAATCGCCGTGGCCTGCCAAAATGGCACTGGGCCGGGCCCAGATCCGGATCTGCAAGGTATGAGGAAGATGTGGGCCAGGGGCCCCTGTTCTATCCTGGGGCAGGTGCGCTGAGTCCCAGCGCACATTGGCCTGGGGGGATCCCCGATGGGCCAGGGCTGGGGGCCAACCAAGCTAATCCCAGAGGCCTGTCAGCAGAGGGGAACGCTAGGGGGCTCTGGAGGCTGTGGGTCCTAGAGAAGGGCCTTTGGAGAATGACAGTCGGCATAGCCACCGTCCGTCTGGCACCGGTCCGTCAGGAACTCCCTTCATGAGGAGAAACCATTGTTTTCATTTTTCAGGTGCAGAAACGGAGAACCAGAGAACTTAAGGCCCTGGCCTGAAATCACTCAGAGCTGGGATTCAAACCCCGGCCTAATGATTCCGAAGCTGGTACAGGGGTGAGGAGAACGGGAAGAGCCCTCATGCCAGCGCCAGCCAGGGGGAAGGAGAGATGGGCCAGCCTCATACCAAGACGCCGTTGGAGGCCTGCTTATCCACGTAGGTGAACTCGCTGATGATAAAGGCCAGCAGGTACGTGGACATCTTGGGTGTGGGGTAGAACTCGGTGACCACCCAGTTGAGGTCTTCTGGAAGTGGGATGCTGGGACCTGGGCAGGGAGCGTGTAAGCGTGTGAGAACACAGCCTCCTTCCCCGCACGCCAGCCCCAGGGTGCCTGGCCCCCTGCCATGTGGCCCCAGGCAGGGCCCGCTCACCTTTAGGAAGCATGTTGGACAGAGCCGTGAGGTTACTGGGGTGGATGAGTGTGATGTTGAACTCAGCCTTCATGGCTGGCTCATCAAAGCATGGGAAGGACTTCCTGGCGTCCGCGGCCTGCATCTGCGTCGTGGCCACCACCCTGCCCCAACCAGGAAGTTAGAGGATATGCCAGGGCTGGTTGGGGGGCACTAAGGATGCTCCTGGGCATGCAGGGAAAGGGGTCCACGGATGGCTGCTCCAGCCTAACCCCTCCTCCCTCCACCACCAGGCCAGCTAACCCCTCCTAACTGACTAACCCCTCCTAGCTGACTAACCCCTCCTAACCTGACTAACCCCTCCTAACCCCTCCACCCTCCACCTGCCAGGCCAGCTGACTAGGGGAGGCTGGGGCTCCTTCTGGACTTGGTAAATCAACAGGCTCTCAGGGACCTCAGGGGTTTCTCTCCTCTGAGCCTCAGTTTTCCTGCCTGTCCAAGGGACACTTTGTGCTTCATCCCCAGCTCCCTGCTGTGGGGTGGGGAAGCCCTCCCAGTTTGGAGTGTTGGCAGTGGCTCTGCCAGCAGCTGGAGGTGAAGTGATGGGCCTGCCTCCAGCTCCACAGGGTTCAAAGTCAGGCAAGCTACGCACTTCCCTGGCCCCCAGAATTCAGCCTGGCCTTGCCTCCTCAGACCCACCCCTCTGGGTAGCCCCAGCCAGAACTCACTTTTTGACATTGCCATCCATGTACTCGCTTCGGTAGAAGCCTGCCAGGTCATCAGCCAGCTCCCCCACGAACGTGCTGCTCATCTCATACTGGCTGTCCTTCACCAGGGAGCTCTTGAGGTGGACCACCAGGTACTCGGTGGGCTCCACCAGCTCGGTCCTCTCGATGTCGGGGGCTTGGGAGCCTCCCACACCACGCAGGACCACCCGGTGCCCCTCGAAGAGAGTGTAGTTGAGCTTCTTGCTGTGGATGATGATGACGTCGGTGGCTACCACGCAGGTGAAACGGACGGTGCTAGAGCCATTGAAGACATACAGGCCCTGGTCATTGGGGGTGAGGAAGGGTTGCAGCGTCACCTGGTAGGAATCGGGTTTCAGTGTGTTGGGGAGGCGGTAACGGTTCCACGGTTTGCTTTGGTCCAAGGTGGTGGCTGAGGTGGATGTGGTGGTGGCGCCTGAGGCGGATGTAGTGGTGGTGGTGCCTGAGGCGGATGTAGTGGTGGTGGCAGCCCCGAGGGAGCTCTCGGCGTTCTTGTTCTTCTCCTGGGCATACACCACCGACAGTGCGATGATGGTGCACAGGGCTGCCACGCCCAGGATGATTCCCCCGATACCCAGGGACTTGGAAATGTAGAAGCCCTTGGCCATGGTGAAGGTGGGGAGGCGGCTCAGGCAGCCTCAGGCCAGGCAGAGAACGGAGCAGCCCCGGGCTGGGCTTATATTCCCAACGGGGAGGAGCCCCACAGCAGGCAGATAGGGCAAAAATTAACCAGGCTCCAACAGCCGAAGGTCAATCGACTGATCAGGGGCGCGCTCTGCCTGCGGCTCTGGAGCAATCCAGGAACAGCGAGTGGAGCTGGGCTCAGGGTGCCTGCTGGAAACAAACAGTGTCTGGTTACAGGCTGCGCGCAGCCCGGGAGCAGGCCCAAGGGCTGAAGGGCAGGCTGTGGGCTGCAGGCCCAGCGGGCAGAGCAGGCAGCCAGGTGGCATTGCACTAATCTGCCTGAGAGCTGAGCAGGTGGGACAGCATCGGGACTGAGGTTAGAGTCAAGAAAGGACTTCCTCCAGGCAAGAGGTGGGAAGTGCACAGAGAAGCGTGAGGGCAGTTCCCGGCTCCTGTCAAGAACACACTGGGGTCACTCCTTCAGTTGCATCTCTGGAAGGATGCCAGGGGCTCCTCGCTGACAAGGTCCCAGCCTCCCTTGCATTCTTCCAGAGCAGGGAGTTCCTGCAGGTTCCCCTAGCTGCCCCTTCTTGCCAAATATCTTTCCCTCCATTATCAGTTCATGGAATAAAGTGAAATGAGTTGTTTTGCTTTTCTGTTAAAGGCTTTACCTCTTTCCAGCTGTGACCTTGAGCAGGTAACTTTACCTTCTGAACCTTTCTCCTCATAAATAACAGTTTTTGCCTCCCAGGGTTGTTGAACAGATTTAATGAGAAAACAAATTAAACAGCAAATTGTAGAATGATTAAAAAAAAAAAAATCAAAGGCTGGGCACGGTGGCTCACACCTGTAATCCCAGCACTTTGGGAGGCCAAGGCGGGCAGATCACCTGAGGTTGGGAGTTCAAGACCAGCCTGACCAACATGGAGAAACCTTGTCTCTACTAAAAATACAAAATTAGCTGGGTGTGGTGGCACATGCCTGTAATCCTAGCTACTCAGGAGGCAGGAGAATTGCTTGAACCTGGGAGGCAGAGGTTGCAGTGAACTGAGATTGTACCACTGCACTCTAGCCTGGGCAACAAGAGTGAGACTCCACCTCAAAAAAAAAAAAAAATCATTCCCTTCTTTCGTACCCAAAGCTCAACAACTGCCTTTTGGTATCCTTGGTAGGAATGAAGACATTACTTACCATACTCAATAAAATACACCCTTACAGGAAAATGATGTTCACTGTCACTGTCCCCACCCACCAGCCCAGTTTCTCAGACATTGACACCGTCTGACCTCAGTCCACATCCAGTTCCCCTGCATTGTCCCAGCTCATGATGCACTTGCCCGAAGCCGTTCTCATCATTTATATGACACAGCAGCGCTCTTATGGACTCCCTGCCTCTCCTCGGGCCTGCTTGAACCTGCTCGACACAAATGGGATTTTATGCCACTGCTAAAAAACCTTCCTTTTACTCGAAGAATCCATTTTTTTATTTTTTGAAATGGAGTCTTGCTCTGTCACCCAGGCTGGAGTGTAATGGCACAATCTCGGCTCAGTGCAACCTCCGCCTCCCAGGTTCAAATGATTCTCCTGCCTCAGCCTCCCGAGAAGCTGGGATTACAGGCACCTGCAACCACACTTGGCTAACAGGTTTGCATTTTTAGTAGAGATAGGGTTTTACTACATTGGCCAGACAGGTCTCGAACTCTTGACCACTCGCCTCGGTCTCTCATAGTGCTGGGATTACAGGTGTGAGCCACCATGCCTAGCCCAGCCCAGACCTAAAGGGACCCACAAGCCCAGGTGCAGTCAGCCTGCCTATTTCCTGGCCTCTTCCCCTCTCACAGTGCTCCAGCCACTCTGGCTTTCATCAAGCCCCAGGGCCTTTGCACATGCTGCTCCCTCTGCCTGGGTCTTCTCTTCCCTATTGCCCTGAATAATTCCTCTCCATCCTACAAGTCTTCTGCAGCCACCCTGACCTTCCTGACCGAGTCAAGCTCCTGTGAGCTCCAGCAGCTCCACAAACTTGTTCTGCAAAGTCCCAGAGCCCAGCTCAGCTTTCCCTTTCTTTCTTTCTTTTTTTTTTTTTTTTTTTTTTTTTTTTTTTTTTTTTTTGAGACGGAGTTTCTCTGTTGTTACCCAGGCTGGAGTGCAATGGCACGATCTCGGCTCACTGCAACCTCCGCCTCCTGGGTTCAGGCAATTCTCCCGCCTCAGCCTCCCAAGTAGCTGGGATTACAGGCACGCACCACCATGCCCAGCTAATTTTTTGTATTTTTAGTAGAGACGGGGTTTCACCATGTTGAACAGGATGGTCTCGATCTCTTGACCTTGTGATCCACCCGCCTCGGCCTCCCAAAGTGCTGGGATTACAGGCGTGAGCCACAGCGCCAGGCCTTAGCTTTCCCTTTCATTTATGTGGTGATCACTCAGGTCCTCGACTGCAGGCCCAATGAGAGCAGGGCCTTGGTTGCCTTGGCTCACCAGCACTTAGCACGGGGCTTGGCACACAGTAGGTGCTCAATACAGAGATGTTGAGTGAACGCACATCTGCTTGAAGGACTGAGTGAGTGAACGAACGAGTCAGCCCAGGAGAAACTCCTTACCAAAGTCCTTCTGTGTCTCCTGGCTTGTCCCTGCCCTACACCTGCCCCGGGAGAAGTGCTTTTGCGTTTTCTGAGCCCTCTCCAAGCACAGCAGGCAGGCAGGACTCGTGTCAGGCCTAAGCATGCCAGGGCCTGCATGCCTTCCTGCTCCCTCAGCCCTGCTCCCTGAGGGCCTCGTGTCTGCTTCCCCTGCCACCCTGAGCTTGCAGGAAGGCTTGTAAAATAAATGCACGTGTGAATTGAAGGGACATGTGGATTAATTCAATCAGGCATAAGCAAAAGATGAATGACTGCCACCTCTCATCTGGGATGTGGAGGCCAGAGTCTGAGCACAGGGTCTTTGTGGGGGGTCCTGGGTGCCCACCTTTGAGACTGAGGGTGCTCTAAGCCTTCGGTATTTCCCCAAGGGGCCTTGGTCTGGGCCCAGCAGCCACCCCATTAGGCTTGAGTGATGGCCCCAAGGGGCATTCATGAGAAATCAAGTGTCTTGAGGGCTCCAGCTTGGGTGTGGCAGGAGGGAGTAGTGGCTCCCAGCACACGATGCCAGTCTCTTCCCATCACGGTGGAATTTGCCAAGGGAGGCCATCTTTATAGCACCCTCTAGGCTGGCACTGGGGTGCCATGCCTGCCCTAAGCGGACTTTCGATATGTCCCTGATTGAGCCTGCGGTCCCCTCCCACCTTTGTGGCAGAAAGACCCACAAGTCGGCCTGGCCTAATCCCTTTTCTAAACAAAGAGGCCCTGCCTGGCCCACCGTGGTCTCTTCCTGTTTGCTTTGGATCCAGACCATAGGCCCAGCTGGCTGGAATCTTTGCTCTTCTGGACAAAGCTGCTGGTCTTCTAAGCTGGTGCAGCAGGCAACCTAAAGTTGGCCCTATGAGAGGTCCCTACTCTAGGCACCAGGCCAGCTCAGGCTGGGGGCACAGACAGTCATGCTCTGCAGCCCCCACCTTCAGGAACACACAAAAGAGCTTCCCTCCTCCAGCTCCCTATCTCAGCCCAGGCCTGGCCACCTCCACCATCGGGCAGTGGCAGCTATGCTGCCCTCCCCTGTCACCCAGTCCCACCCAGCACATCAGCAGAGGGCTCCTCCTAAGAGTGTAGATATGACTCTCCCATTCAAACCTGAGCCAGGCGTGATGGCTCACGCCTGTAAATCCCAGCACTTTGGGAGGCTGAGGTGGGTGGATCACCTGACGTCAGGAGTTCAAGACCAGCCTGGCCAACATGGTAAAACCCCATCTCTACTAAAAATACCAAACAACAAAAAAAATATTACCCAGGTGTGGTGGTAATCCTTGTATCCCATGCCTGTAATCCCAGCTACTCAGGAGGCTGAGGCAGGAGAATTGCTTGAACCCAGGAAGTAGAGGTTGCAGTGAGCCAAGAGCACACCATTGCACACCAGCCTGGGCAACAAGAGCAAGACTCCATCTCCAAAAAAACAAAAATAAAAACAAAAAAACCCTGGTGCCCAGCCCCTCACTGCCTGCAGAATGAAACCTGGACTCTGGCTTAGGCCCCAATCCCTTCTGTGAACCTGACCCTCTGGCCTGTCATCTTTTCCACTGAGGCTCCAGCTGCCCAGCTACCAGCATCTCCTTCAATCACCTGGGCTTTTTCAGACCTCTGTGCCTTTCATCATCCTCTTCCCATTGCCAGGAATGCCTTTCCTCTCTCTTGTCAAACTCCTACCCATGCTTCAAAACCCAGCTCAATGTCACTGCCTCGTCATGCACGGCAGCCTGCCTCCCCTCTGTGCTTCCCTAGTCTACGGTTCCCACTTCTGTCACAGCACTTAGGAAAATGCCACTGAGGCTGGGTGCGGTTGCTCGTGCCTGTAATCCCAGAACTTTGGGAGGCTGAGGCAAGGGGATCATTTGGGGTTAGGAGTTCAAGACCTGCCTGACCAACATGGCGAAACCCTATCTCTAATAAAAATACAAAATTAGCCGGGCATGGTGGTACATGCCTGCAGTCCCAGCCACTCAGGAGGCTGAGGCAAGAGAATCACTCAAACCCAGGAGGTGGAGGTTGCAGTGAGCAGAGATTGCACCACTGCACTCTAGCCTGGACAACAGAGCTACTGTTTCCAAAAAAACACAGCTACTGAGGTGTTCAAAAGCCTGCCACTACACCTGAGCACCTCAAAGGAAGGCTTGGTGGCTTCGTATGCCCCTCCATGCCTAGCACGAGGCAGAAGGCCAATACGTGTTGGCTAAATGAATGATGACACCCACAGTCCTTGCCACGACCTACAGGCCCTGTGTGACGCAGCCCCAGTGATTCTCGGGCCTCACCACCAGCCTATACCTGGTCACCTCTGTGCCCTTAGTTCAAATCCAACCCGTTCTTCTCTCCCTCGTTCTCCCTTCCTCCCGACACACACTGGGCCTGGAAAGCTTCCTGCCTTTGCCTCACCCACTGCCCACCTGCCCTGGAGGCTCATGGCAGTGGTGCTGACCCCAGGCAGTCCTCCACGTACTAGAGGG